GGCCTACTTTCATTTCAGAAGTGCACAACTTTCTTGTGGCCTATTTTGACGCTGTGATGTAAGGGCTTCTGTGTGTGTATGTGTGTGTGTGTGTGTGTGTGTGTCACTGACGTCGACAGTCCTCATATCATTGTTGCGCATGCATCTGTAGAGTTGCACACACACACACACACACATCGACTGACCTATTTTACAGCACTTTGTCAGGCAGAGGCAGAAGGGACTGAATGGATCGTTGCAGGCAACATAACTCTCCCTTGAATGGCAGCCAACCAAGCATGTTTAACAGAGGAGTCGTTTTTCTCCCTCTGTCGCTTTCTGTTTTATCCTGCATACTTCCTGCAGGCATGTGACAAATCTAAGCCCCTTTTTTTTTTTAATGTTGTGGGAGTTGTTCTTTTCACTGATATTGGACTCTTTGGTCTGGTTTCGGTATAAGTCCCTTCAATTCTGCAAATGCCCACAGAAAGTTGCTCACAGGGCGATCCACACGCCTGGATATTTGCTCTACCTTTTTGAGTCATTGCAGGGACTCGCTCGCTTTTAAATCTGTGTTCAACAACAGTCGGGGGGAAAGGGGAACTGTTCAGTCATTCGATAGATTGATCGGAGTGCATTGAGAAGTTATTTATGGCTGAACTTTGTCGTTTGTTCCGTGTGCGATCTGATTAGAGACACAGCACAGAAAGTACAGAATGCTTCCAATTCAACTCAAACTCTTCCTTTGAGTGTAAAAGAAAGTGATCATAATCGGAAAAAACTGAATGTCACTAAATGTTTTAACCCACCGCATAGGGCACAAAACTTTGCAGTCCAAAGTCAGCGGGGGCCGGAGAGAGAGAAAAGCAAACATTTAATAAGTTAATGTTTGAATTTGGTGCTTCACGGTAGAGCAGGCCTCTGCGAATCTCAGCTCCTTGGGTGGATGTTTCAGCCCTGACTAATGCTATTTGACATCTGCCCACCGCATATTTGAAACAGCACTCCTTTCGTGTGCGGACAAGTGGCCTAACGGACTCGCATTGCCTCAGATTCTGGCGCTCCGTCCTCAGCCTCGTTCTCCTTACCCGATCGCTGCCTCTCCCAGAGCTGATGACCTACATACTGCAACATCGCCGTTACATAACAAGCCAGAGCTGTTGATCGCCACAGGCAGCACAAAGCTGCCCCCCCCCCCTCCTTCCCCTCTCCCCTCCCACCCTTTCCTCTCTGTTTTTATTTTTTTTACCCACAAAAACCAAACACATTCTCTGACCTTTTCATTAACTACTTTATATACTGGGAAGTCGCCATCCCGGGTCACACCTCCACAGCAGATGATTTATGTGGGACGTGTGAGAGAGAGAGAATTCGAATCAGGTCAGCGCAAAGCCTTTACGGTTTTATGCTGCTGCCAGGTCTTCTGTTGCTCAACCTCTGAGAGGTTGTTGGCACTACACGCTCACAGAACCGAGAGGTGAATGCCCTCAACAGTTGATTGTCATTGCGGCAAAAGTGACAAAAAAAACGGATGATTGGCAGCAATCTGAAAATGTTACGATATTTCCAAAAACGGAATCGTGTCAGCTCAGAGGGGGAAGTGATCAGCCTGTGTGTGCTACTGACCTGCTCATGCAAGCAGAGGGGGTTGTTTTTTTTGTTTTTTTCTGAGTAGTTTGCTGAAGTTTACTTACTGGAGGGATGTGATGTAACCCTCCTCTCCCCCTTCCTTCCCCCGTCTCTCATTCTCTCCACTCTGAATAACCCCTCTTTTTCTCTCCCAGCACTCGCTCTCCTCCTCCATCCTCTCCCATCCCTCCTCACTGACCTACTTTCAACCCCCCCCCCCCCATGCCCTGCTTTCACAAGCCCGGGCACAACACAAAGCAGCTCGTAGAAGTCGAAGAAGACGGGCTGGAAAAGAAGGGGAACGAGTGAGAAAAACGAAAGCGGGAGGGCGCAGCTCAGAGCGCTGCGGCTTTCTGAGGAATGTCACCTTGTTGTACCTGGCCGCCGGGTTAGGGTGGGGGGGGG